AGGCCCCACCCCTGTGCCTGCAGTTTACCCGAGAAGGCAGCAGAGGTCTCCCTCAGCATCAGAAGCCTTCCCCAGGCTGCTCTGAGCCATGCCTCTCTTCTCTCCTCCCCTCCCCTCTCCTCTTTGTAGTCCCAAACTTGGAAGTGAAGTCAGGGCAGATTGCTTGCCCGAGGCTTCCCTGATGCTATGTGCATCAATCCCAAACCAAGGTACATGTCACAATCCCTAGTGTGTAAATAAGACAAAGCAAGGATACGGGACTCCAGGCAGCTAGCCCAAGGTTGCTCATCTTGAAAGATGGTTCTATGACACCATCACCAGCAGATCAAGCCAGAAAATGATTTACCACACTGGACTGCCAACTCCCTGGCCTTGACCTTGATTTATTGGGTAGTTGTTTCCTCCCAGAGAGAGGCTCTGTAGCTTCCTGAGCTGAGAACCAATGCAGCAGGTACAGGAATTCCCGTCATTAGAATAGCCAGAGAGAATCAAAGCAACGGCTCAGATGGCTGCTCCCTCGTTCAAAGCCCACCACGTCCAACAGCAGGGGGGACTGGGTCCCAGAGGCTCAGCTTGGCAGAAAGGGGGAGGTCTCATCCTGCCAATAGGCGGTTGGTTTCCATCTAAACCCTTCCAGACAGGCTGCCTGGCTGGTGTTCCTTCATTCCTGAGGCTGCAGTGACCCCATGTGGCCATTGATGAGCATAGCTGCCTGCAGGGTGTGACAGCTATTTCTTCTCCATCAAGCTTCTGTGCCTTGAGCTTTTAGGACAGTTTGTCCCTAGCCCCCCTGACTGTGAGGCCACAGCCCCCGGTGTGGTCTGAGCACACCCCTCAGCCATTGCTGGAGAAGCTGTGAACATCTTTGGGTTGAAGGTGGCTGACTCTTGGGTCTGCTTTTCCCTGCAGGATCCTACCCTCACCCCTTCCCACACCCTCCCAGCATCTTATGAACAGGTGAGACCAAGGGAATTGTGTGACCTGTAGATGCAGGAGACGGAAATGAGAGACGTTTATACAGAACTGGGAGGGTCGACAGGGATTGGTTAAAGCCACATTCACGTTTATAAGTGCAAGTGGGCCAGAAACACTGGAGAAGTTTCTCCTAATGCCACCCCAGATGATATGTATGGATGGGGGAGGAATTGCCTGTGGCTGCTGCTGACATGTGCTGAGCTTGACACAGCTTAGGAAGGGTTTTTATCCCTCCCACACCTGATCTTAAGTCCCCTGAACATAGGTAGGTGGTTTGGTGGGGTATATCCTCACCTGCTTCTGTTTCCCCGCACCTCACTTTCATTCCTCTGGCTATAAATAAAACCCGACTGAGACACAGGGCAGAGAGAACTCTGAGCCACTACTCCCCCCTAGTGTCTGTCTGGTTCTGTTCTGAAATGGCAAATAAAATCAATTAAAATACTCCAAAACCAGACTGCTGTAATTTATCCTTTAAGAGTCGTAAATGTGAACTCTTAACCTTAAATGGAAGGAATGTTCTGGAACATTCTTTTTTTGTTGTTTTGTTTTTGTTTTTGTTTTTCAAGACAGGGTTTCTCTGTGGTTTTGGAGCTTGTCCTGGAACTAGCTCTTGTAGACCAGGCTGGTCTCCAACTCACAGAGATCCGCCTGCCTCTGCCTCCCTAGTGCGCCACCACCACCCGGTGCTGGAACATTCTTAATTGAAGAAGACATGCAGCCACTATTTGAGATAAGAAAGGAAAGAACAGGGAAAAAAAAGCAAGACCTATTTTCCCCTAAACCCTTCTTTTCTTTGCCCAACTGCTGCTCCCCCAATCTTCAAGGAGAAACTCTGCTGTGAGTGAGTGGGGACAGTGTTGGCAATAGTGGCCGGTCTGCCATACACACCTCATACACAGATAGACCTGCACCGACTTGATCTTGCAGCTTCCAAATCTCAGAACTAAATGATTTTCTTTTCAAGAAGAGATTTGAGTGTCGCCTGGAGATAAAGAAACCCCAAAGCATGGGAGGACTTCCCTGTTTGCCTCGGCCAGTCCCCTGGGTTTGGAGGGCTTAACGTTGACTAAGGGAAGTCCACACAGCCCTTGGTTGTGCCCCTGGTTGATCTTTAATTGCCAATACCCCTCCATGTTTGATGTGGCCACTAGATATTCCTCCAACCGATACTAGCTTTTGCTCTCAACAGCCCGCAGCCTGTCTATTCCACATCTATGAACGACGTCAGAGCTGAAAACCACCAGCTGGACTGCGGTGTGCAGAACGGTTGTTAAGGAGAGTCCCAAACTGACACTGATGGACGAGAAAGGGAGGAGGTGTGGGTCAAGGGAGCAGTCAGGTGACCATGCCAGTCTGTCAATAACCTCAATAGCCAGAATGATCCGTCAGTGATGGCCCGTGTCAGGCGGAGCCCAGCCTTTATAGACCCATATCGATCACTCACAGATGTGAGCTGCTTAAGAAGGAACAGAGAGCAGGGGCCTGTGGACAGACAGCATGGCCGGCCAGTGGCCAGCAGGCAGTGCTTCATTGTAAGAGCCAGGGCAGTACATTCTCAGGCTAGCTACACGAAACCTCTTTGATTTGCTTTTAAGTGTGGCTTCTGGAAGAATCTCCGGCAAGATCTCTGTTGACTTTCTTCTTAGTAGAAACTTAAGGAGGCGGGGTGTGGGTACATGGCTCGGTGGCAGAACAGCTGCCCGGTCATGCGGGAATTCCTGTATCTGCTATCTAGGACCTTAGAGGGGGGTAGAATGCCAACATCTTTTTGGCTGTGCTGCTGGACCCAGGGGTCCCTCCGTTCCCATCTATACCATCCAGTCTGCCCTTGCCCTCAGCAATGTCTCAGCCATTCCCAGGGGCTTTACGGAGAGGTGTGAGCCCCTCATCTTCCATCTAGGGTGACTACACCTGGTTATTACTCTCTACACCTAACAGAGACATCTCAGGGGTCACCTCCATGCCACACTTCTCTTCCCCAGCGTGTGACAGCAGCTGAGCAATCCCTTCCTCTTTCTGGTTAGACACCTTTCCCCCGCACCAGGAGGACAACTGCTCCTGGTCATCCTTAAATGTCCAGCTTGAAACTTAAGTTTGGATGTGTGATTCAGCTAGCTTTTGTCATCTTTTCAGACAGAAGTCTCCCTTGAGAAGCAACTATTTCTATCTTGAGAGCGTTCACCAAGGGCTTTGGGAAGCATGTATATTCCAAGAGGTTCCTGGGAATTAGAAGTACCACTCGTTGGTTCTCAGACCCTCGGGTCCTCCTCTACTGGGACAGAATACTTTGTAAAGTTGATTAACCCTAAGTGTCTCCCGCATCCTGGAGAGTGGCATTCTGTTCTATTTGTTTGTTTGTTTTTAAAGATTTATTTATTATGTATACAACATTCCCTACATGTATGCCTGCATGCCAGATCTCATTATAGATGCTGTGAGCCATGTGATTGCTGGGAATTGAACTCAGGACCTCTAGAAGAGCAGCCAGTGCTCTTAACCTCTGAGTCATCTCTCCAGCCCGGCATTCTGTTCTTGTTATCTCTGAGTGGGCCCTGTGCCCTTAATAGGTTACACTGATTTTCTGTGAGCCTAGGTGTGTCCCATGATGTAGTCCCCTGGTCACAGTTCTCGTACCTTTATTCTATAAGGAAGATCTCCAGTCCTTTGAGAGTGACACAGGATACCCAGTGCCAACAGACAAGCACTCTGGGAGTACTCTGGTGGCACTTCTAAAGATCTCTGTGGTCAGAACAGGCAGGGGATCTGTCTATTTCTACTAGAATGAGCCACTGGCCTTAATAGGGTGAAAGGGATCTGTTGTGATGAGTTTGTTGCAAGCTCAGACTTGTCTGTTGTGGCAAGTTGGGGACTTGTACGGTAGAGCAGTAATTATGAAAACTTTGTCCAATGAATGTCTGCACCATCGGATTCCTTCACGACCTCCACCCTTCCCACCACTGAGCCAGCACTGGTGGCCAATGACTGAGCCATCTTGTGTATTAGCTCACGAGGCACCTCTTCTGTGGGGGAGGATGGTTTCCAGAAAACCAACACAAAATATGACAGCCATCATTCTCTGCCTGTTGTCCACAGATGCTCCAACATGCCTCTGCATCAGACCCCGTCCCAAGCTTTCCAGGCCGTCCAGGTTCCTAACACCAGACAAACTATTTGGTGCTGCCTGAGAGGCCATCTATACTCTGATTTGGCCTGCTTTCCTTCACCCACAGAGTAAAGGAGCAGGTGCCCTGCCCTCTGTTCTGCCCACGATGAGGCTTATCCTACACAATTCTTTCGAGACTATCCGTGAGTGAGGCCATATGGTGCTGTTATTGTTTAAATTACACATCTACACAAAGCCCACTTGAACACCAACTAAACTTGGCCATTTTCTTCTCCGTGTCTGCTCTTATCCGTAACATAGCATGGCTATGAAGTGGTAAGTGCCGCTGGTCCACGGAAGCCTCTGGTTCTGCCTGTGTACAATTGGATATTCCTTCTCCATCTTCAGATGGATTCTTGCTGCCCCATGCCACTGAATCCCATCTGCTCTTCATCACAGAAATGATCTTAAAGGGTAATGATTTTTATTGCTGTTTTCTTTAGTCCGGGTCTCACACAGCCCAGGTTGGCTTTGAATTCACCATTTATTTATAGTTAAGTGTGATCTTGAATGTCTGAGCCTCCTGCCCCATGTCCCAGGTGCTGGGAGTACCCACATGCACACACCATACCCAGTTTATGTGGTTCTGGGGATCAGCTCAGGGCCTTGTGGATGCCGGGCAAACATTCTACCACTGAGCTCCATCCTCAGCCCAATAGAGTGTGGTTTTTGTGTATGATGAAAAGTCACTGGTAGCCTATTCCCTAGTTAGATGGAGTTAAATAGTGGACTGGTTCCACATCTTTACTGTGTTGAATAGCATTCCTCCAAAATTCATGTTGAAACAGAACCGATGAATGTGGCTGTCTTGGTTAGCTTTTCTATCGCTGTGATAAAACACCACAACCAAAAATAACTTAGAACAGAAGGGTTTATTTGGCTTACAGGTCACAGTCTATCACTGAGGGAAGCGAGAGCAGGAACCTAGAGGCAGAAGCAGAAGCAGAAACTATGCAGAAGTGCTGCTCACTGGCTTGCTCCCCATGACTTGCTTAGCTGGGCTTCTTATATCCCCAAGACCACCTGCCCAGGGTAGGCACCACCACCACCAGATCAGGTTTTCCCATATCAAACATCAGTTTGCTTGCCCACAGGGCATTTTCATGTGGGCATTAAGAAAACTGAGGTTCCCTCTTCTCAGATGACTGTAGCTTGTTTCGTGTTTATAAAACAAGCCAACAAACACACGCAACCAACACAGCGGCCTTATCTGAAAACACCGCTGTTTTGCAGATGGGATCAAGTCAGAGGGCGTGCTCTGTAAGGAGAAAGCCATAGGAGTGAGCACTTAGTGAGCAGAAGGCCACACACTAATGAACTGAAGTCCTAGATGTTTATCGAAGAGCCAGGGTACAGGGGGGACGGTTAGAAGATGCAAGGGAAATTCTCCCAGAAACTCACAGGATGCATGGCTCCACCACCATCTTGATCTTCATCTTCTAACTTCTACGATTGTGGAATCGTGTATTTCTCGTGTTTTCAGCCAGAAGTCTATGGCGGTTTGTTAGGACCACACCAGAAAGCTAATTTAATATCTTGCACAGTCTTGACATTTACCTCGTTATCTGGGAGGGATTATTTACTAAAGAACTGTTACAACATTGTACGTTTTTATCTATCTCAACTATCACATATTAGATACACAATTGCAATTCATTAAAATGAACAGGCAAAGAACACAATGCGGTAAACATTACAACACTTAAAACTGGCCTTGTGTAAGAAGCGTACTAACACATCTCTGCCCCCGTCTCAAACAAGGAACGAGAGAGAAGCTGGGTGACTATTCCATATCATATGAATATTTCACTACTGATCTGTAAAGAGGCAGAAGTCTTGACGTTCATTGATATGGACTTCACTCATTCAAACCTGTTCTGAAATAAATTACACACAAGTCACAGTTGGTAACAATCACTTCACAAGAACATCAGCTGCTAACATGGCGCAGCGTAAATGGATGAGCTGTGAGCATGCAGCTTTACAGCCTACGTATTAACTGTTTTTTTTTCCAAAGTTCAGCTACACAGCTAAAACATGAGCTTTGGGACTGTCTGCAATTCTGCAAACAGGTTTTGCACATCTAGGGTAGCGGAGGTCTCTTCTGTTGTCTGAGGCTATTACAAGTCGTCACTGTTTAAAGCCTTAGCCCATACAATAGAACTCACGTATCACCTCCATGCCTGACTTGAGTGCTTCCTCCACACGACCCTAGACAATGGGCCTCTCCTCTGTAGAGAACCTGGAGCATCTACTGTTTCTCTCAATGGCATTCGTCATTCACTTGTTTGTAAATTCAGGGTCTTGTCTGTCTGGATGCTCACCTTACAGACGAAGCAGCCAGCTCAGCACAGCAGTGATGTCTGGGTATTCCTATCCATATTCCCAAACTGTGCTCGAGCCAGGAATTACACCTAGCATTATCAGACTGGAAATTCCCGGTTGAATACACAGAAAACTTTGCTTAGAAAGCAAGTCTGGCTGTGTGTTTGACATTCCAATGCACTTCGATCACACTTTCGGGGTGTTTATAAATATATAGTCTCAAAATAGCTGTTATTCTCAGTCTTTTCTATACACAAGATACATATTACATTTGTAACACTCATTTAATTACGACATGCAATTCACAACACCTGGAATTATAGCAGGACATGAAACACCAACACAGCTCTGTCCAGTAATTATGACTTCGTGGGGGGAAAGACTGGACAGTGATTCATTTACAAATGAGTTCACTGCAGCTAACAGAGCCCAAGTCTGTTTTTGGCGTGCTTGTATTCTAATAGACCTGCTCCCACTTGAAAGCGTGGCTCTCACTCACTGCCTGGCCGCTGGCACACACGTGCTCCATCTACCATCTCAAGACACTAACTAGGAATGTCATCACCTTCAACACCTACATCACATGTCAACCGTGTGTGTGTGTCCCATGCTGGTAGTGGGCTGGACTCTTGAAATGCCTGCTCTGAAGAGGTTTTCTCACGGGGCTCCCCACTGTACCTTCCACTGGGGGTTCAGACTAACCTTGAACAGTGCCAGAGTCCCGCGGGCAGACTTGGAATGTGTGAGAAAATTGGTATTTGGCCTCTGTCTTATGTATCACATTACTGACAAGCATTTTACAAAGAGCAGTGAGGAGGAGGGGCACCTGTCCCCGCCTGCAACTCAGAAACACACAGGGGCTTCCAGCAACCTTCACACAGGGGAAACTCAGTTATCTCCCTGTGCGTTGTTGGCCATCTCTTGGCGACTGTTCATCTTTTGGGTAATGATGGCTAGGATTCGCCGAATGGCAAGCAGCCGCTCTTTCAGGGAGGCCATGCCGAGAATGGCCACCTGAGCCTTGCGTTCCAGCGGCAACACGGCCAGAATCCACCAGGACCAGGCGGGGCCGATAGCGATGCTCTGTCAAAGACACGAGGAGATCAGCAAAGTTAATGTCCAGAACATAGGCTGTTCCCTAATTCAGCTTTTTGTGTAACCAGCAAACAAAGGCAAGGATGCCACCTTCTGCTGTAGGAACAGGTCAGAGTTCACCAGGCCCTGAGAATGCAGAGTTCCTGTTCAATGTGAGCCACATATTCCAAGGTGCAAGGAAAGGATACGAAAGGAAACTTGCTGAGAGAAGCTCATTCCACAGAGAAACTCCATGGATTATCCATCTTTGTTCTCCCAAGTGTTCAGATAACGATGCTCACCCACCAGAAAGAAAGATCCTAAATGTCACCTCCAGGTGCCAATGTTGTAAGCTATTGCTCTTCAAGTTTTAAGTGGGCTAGCTAAGGCACAATGTTATAAAGGTCAAAAGTATTTGGACAAGTTTGAGTGCCATGGGAAAACCGAACTTAAAGTCAAAGTGGCAAAGTGTGTAACATACGTATGCACACATCACTGTATGTGGTAACTACTGTGAACTTTTATGTGTGGATAACACACTTAAGTTTTGTTTAGGTACATGTGCATGTGCATGCTAGCCTTTACTTCGCATAACCAAATGAGCATTCTGGGCTGAACTCTAAGCCAACACCGATTCTCAACTGGTTTCTGTTCATGGTGCTGGAATAAAGACATTTAATCCCAAACCCATTTGCTTACAAAGTTCAAATTCTCTTCTATTCCCTTTAGAGAGGTACCAACCAGGAGCTAGGGAGAATGGACCCCAGTGGCTTTAGCTTTCGAGTTCGATAACTTCACTGGAGGGTAAGAAATAACCCATGAACCAAAGCTCAAAGGGGCATCTCAAGTAACTGCCGAGAAGATCCTGGCCTGCCCTTCAGAGGTGACCTATAATCTCAATTCTCCCCTTCTCTTATCCCTCAAGACAAAATGCTCAATGAGAAGCACCTCATGAACAATATCCTCCCTTAACTAAAATCCTTGTCCTTGCAGGATAATGGTCTCTAAAGATCTCAGTGTCTGTAAGTGGAAATGGGGGCTGTTGAAGATGTGACCAAGTTACTACAATGGGAAGATTATCTTAGTGGACCGATGGAGCTGCATGGATCCTTCCAGGACTATGGCCAGTTGAGATGTGACATGAAGAAAGGAACTGGAGAGTGGCTGGCTTAATAATGCCAAGGAAGGCCGTCTTCAGAGGCTGAGGATGCCAGAAGCAGTCTCTCCTACAACCGCCAGGGGGCGACGCGCACTGCTATTGCTGCGTCAGGCTTGGCGGAAACAAACACCTTTAGGGCTTCTGACCCACACATTCTGTCTGGTAATACACAGGCACTGCTGCCGCCACCACGTTAGTGTCACAGCAGGGGTAGGAAGTAACTCCACCCACCAATCAGAGAGTAATTTGAATTGATCAGTGTAACTACTTTCCTTTTGAATCTGAGACCGTACAGTGGGGAAATGGAGTGGTAAGAAGGGGTGGCCAGGAAGGACGCGGAGGTGATTTTAGAATCTAAAGCAGGGCCTCCTAAACTTGAGCTACTCATGACATTTTTAACCTAAGGATTTTTTTTACAACTCTAGGCACAGAGGTACCCTGCATCTGCTAATACAAATCAAAAATAAATCATAAATAGATTATTCTTAAACAAATCTTTTATATAATTGTAACATTTATTAAAGGTTAAAGTAAATTCAACACCAATTAGATATATGTGATTGTTTATTTTTACACACAATAAATAAATCTTGGCTGAAATACTGAATATAGAGCGCTGTCAATGTTTTTCAGAACCAAACGAAATTCTGAATTTACCCAGCTATCAATGCTGAGAATGCCAACTTCATATAAACACAGCATGTTTGGGGCCACTTCAGAGAATGCTCAAAATATTGTCCTAATCCCAAGCCAAAATTCATTTATTGATTTTTTTTTTTTAATGAGATTCAAGCTAGCAACTGTCCTGATTAGCATCATCTGTCGCACTTGCCCAGCCTGGAGTCATCTGAGGGATTCTCAGTTGATTACCTAAGTCAGAGTGGCCCGTGGCCACAAGACAGTCTCTGAAGCACTGTCTCTGAGCATTAACTGATGCAGCTGGGCCCAGCTCACTGTGGGTGGCACCATCCCTAAGCAGGTGGCCTGGATTACATAAGAAATCAGCTGAGCACGAGCAGGCGAGAAACCAGTGAGCCGTATTCCTCCTCGGTTCTGCTTCAGCCCCTGCTCGACTCCTTACCTGGTTTCCCTCAGTGATGAGTTGGGACCTAGAAGTGTATGTCAAATAAACCCTTTCCTCCAAAGTCTCTTTTGGCCAGCGGACTTCATAAAGCGACAGGAAAGAAACTAGAACAGCAACTCAAACAATTGTTCAAGTCAAGCCTTCTAACCAAAGGCACACTGATGTGACAGAGACCAAGAGACTGCCGGCAAATTGTTCTTTTTTTTTTTTTTTTTTTTTTTTTTTTTTTCCGAGACAGGGTTTCTCTGTGGCTTTGGAGCCTGTCCTGAAACTAGCTCTTGTAGACCAGGCTGGTCTCGAACTCACAAGAGATCCACCTGCCTCCGCCTCCCGAGTGCTGGGATTAAAGGCTCACACAGAGCAGCTGGAAGGAACTATGTACTTTGGAAGCATCCTGCACCTGAGCAGCTCTGTCATTAGAAGGTGATGCATTGGAGCTTAGATACACACCACAAGCTGCCCATCTGCTTCCCGAAGGGTCAGCTGCAACAAAAACTACTGGGGGGTCAGTAAGGACCTAAGGCTTCCAAGACAGCGATGGCTGTGGGGTTTTCTCTTCAGGCACTCAACATCTTGCTTGGCATGCGCAAGACAGAGATGAAGCATGGTGTTCTGAGCTAACGGAATGATTTTTGTTTGAGGCGATCTTCATGCACGGATAGAAAACGTTGATCTATCTACTCTGCTACACAAGGCACAGGCTTGTACTAAGTCTTCTTTGGGAAGCTAGGACTCAAGCTGGCTCACGGTTGCGACAGCACACAGTGCTGCGCTGCTGAGTTTATCACAGAATGAGGAGCCTTGTCACATGACCGTGGGAAACAGCAGCATGACCAGAGAAGGGAAGAAAGCCTACCTGTGCCTCAGGCTCCCTGTCTGGCATGGACCCGAAAAGGTTTAGGATTTTCGTTTTCATGGGATCCTGGAGAGAAGCAAGCCAGGAAACAACCTCCTGGTACACTGACTCATGGAGGGCGGTGAGTTCTTCATACTCTGGGCCTTCCACCTGGCCAGAGAAAAGAGAGAGAGATTTCAGTAATCCACGCAGACACAGGCCTCTGCACACTGGCGACCTCTGACAGCTAGGTGGATTTGTGACATCTACTTCTTCACTAATGACACAAAATGACATGTTTACTATAGAAATGTTTGCTTTTTAATAAGTCTGAGATCTATGAATTGCACCCTGGTTCTTCTCTTAAGATTCTAATGTGAGCACGTATCCAACGTTATAAATAACTGTCCATGGGTACAGACTATGTATCTGATATATAAAAAGTTATTTACCCACATACATAAGATACATTTTGGATATCCTGACATTTTATTTTTAAAATGATTTTTAAAATGCCAGTAATATAAATATGCATACACAGGAACCAACAAGACAATAACACCAAGTAAGAATGTGCAACCTCAGTTTGGTCCTCAGAACCCTCGTGGTAGAAGGAAAGTACAGATTCCTGCAGGTTATCCTCTGACCTCCACGTGCACACTGTGCTGTACGGTATGTGTGTGCGCACACACAATACAACAAATAAATAAATATACACAAGAGAACTTTTTGTTGGGTATTGCAGAACAAGGAATCAGAGCTGGTATTTTACAAACCATTTTCCTAATACCAAATCACACTCCAGGATCTGTGCTGGGCGGCACCATGACCACCAACATTAGCAACTGCTCAGCCATACTGCTTGTGCCTTGCCTGGCATCTGATACTCCTCACTGTCCAGCCAATCATTTGGCTCCACCTCAACCCTGCTTAGGATGATCTGGCAGAGCACTGGACTAGTGGTTGGGCGTGTCTTAGCTTCACTGTCGGCTGTCGTGTGTGTGTGTCAGTCAAGACCACAGCCTTGTAAAGCAGAATAAACCATCCAGGTCTTTTCTGGGTAGAAAACTCTCGAAGCTACAAAATCCACAGAAATTCTAACAGACAGAAAGAACCATCATAGGTTTGACTTACACAGACCAACATTCATATGTAATTGGGATTTTCTTTAAAATTACTTCATAGGCATCTTTTAAAGCCAGTCTTAAAGGAAATCCACACCGCACTAAAAATAAGGTGTCACTGATGGCAATACCAATAACGCTTCATTAGATCTGTCGTCAGTTCCGTAGGACGAGCCTGAGAACCTCCACACCGCATCAGTCTTTGCAGCCAGCCCCCATAATCCAGGGGCCCTGGAGTTGGGCACCCTGAGGTCCCTTTGATCTTTGAGGCTCTCGGGGCCTTTAGCCACCAGAAGTGGCAGCTGGGAGCAGATGGAACCAGTGCTCTGGGCATGATCCCACTTGGATGAAAATGCGTCTACGTCTCCAGTGTGACTTCTAGTGTGATGCGAGAGGGTGCATGCTTTTATATCCACACTTCAGATTTCCAGCAAAAATGGAAAAGAGGGATACGATAATCCAAAGTATTTCCTCCCACTAAGCATTTCTAATTTTGTTATAACGTAACATATAGACAAAAAGCACCCCTCCCTCTCTGCCACAGATCCAGTGGGGCTCAAGGAATCCTGTCAACTGCACGAGGCAGCACAACCACCACGCCAGCCCCTGTACGAGGAAGCCAGCACCTTACACCAGACAGAGAACACTGCTACTACCCAGAAAGACTCCCCAGCCCCGTCCCAGTCAGATGAAAAGTCCACCTTGCAATTCCGACTTCTGTCTCCAGGCCACGTGTTTCCTGTTTCTGGAAGTGGTCAAGAAGACAAAGCTTTTGCCTGCTTTCTGTGTGTGGCGGATATGCAGTGTGCAGCCTCCCATGATTGGCTCCCCTCTCTGCCTGGCTGTAGCCTCACCCGTGCTGACAGAGCGCTAGTTCGTTAGGTTTTGCCTCTGATAAGTCTCCACTGTAGGATGAACTGGAATAGCTCATCCATCTGCCCGAGGGGCATCTAGACCACCTCCACTTTCAGCTACTGGCGAGGCAGTATGGACATCTCTAAACATCTTCATGAGGACCTGTTCAGAACACTTTGCTGATTTGTCGGAATATGTGTACTGGTATTTCTGTGAGATAAAAATAATTCTCGAAGGGTGAGAGATTTTTATACTCGCTTTGGAAGGCTCTTTAAGCACGACTGTTTTGTGTTCTACCTCACTCTGGACCATACGAGGAATCACCGCTGGGATTCAAACGCTGGCTGTCACTACATTGTTAGCCCTTTCCCCAAGGTATGTATTTTATATGTATAGGTGTTTTGCCTACATGCATATCTGTGCATTTCTGGGGAGGCTGGAAGAGGGCATCTGCTTTCTTGGAATCTGAGATTCAACTGACTCTATGAAGAAACCAGAGACAGAATTGTCCCCTGATATGTGTCTGGTCTTTATAGGAAAAGTGTGTCAGTCCCCAGACTCGAATATCAAACATGGAACCACAAGCCCAGGCTCCCTAAGGGCATTTCAATTTAGGAGATTTCTCTACTGACTTTAACCCAAGTGAAGATGCAACAACTCAAGTGCTGGATTAGGATGGAAGTAACACTGTAAGCACAGCAGAGAGGAGAACAGGATGCGGCCCTGTAAAATGACCCTCACCTTCTCGTCTTCCAGGTACTCAATGTCCGCGGTGTTATAGCCGTCTCTGTGGCGGTGGCTGAGCACTCTGAAGCGGCTGATCCCGACGGCATCCACAATGGAGCTTCCGTCTGGGAAAGTTCTGATGTCCCTTATCTCCAGCATGCAGCCGAACTCCGAAATCCTGAAAGGACGGGCGGGCGGGGATAGAGGCAACTGTGTGACTAAATTCAGATGCCTTCCTTTCCTCTAAAGTCTGGCTTTCAAAAGGAACGCAAAACCAGACTGAACAGTGGGTGTCCCTACATCGGGTCAGCAAGGTTATCACCCAATGAGATAATGCGTCCTTCTGTTGAGTACTGCCTACTACACTAGAGATGGAGACGGCTTGACAGAGGCCTCTGGCCTCAGCATCAAATGAGCGAGAGCTCTGGGAGGATCTGAGGTATGGGAAGAGACCAAATTTTAAATGGAGTGCTTTAGCCACTTGGCCAGGCCGTGTTGCGGGTCCAGTACGCACAAGATTTGGTGTTGCTCAGGCACTCTGCTCCTGGCCCGCAGAGAATCTCCCCACTTTCACGTGCACTGTCCAATCAAAGTCCTGAGGCAGGCAGTCTACAGTCACTGCCTGTCTCTCTGCCTCCCCTTTACATCCCACCACTCCCCGTAAGATCCCAACAGAAGCTACAGATACCCTCCAGGTGGCCACAGTCAGTGGGCACGTCCTGCCGCTGAACTAACACCCTCTACGCTTCTCTACACTTGGTGACCTCTCTGGTCCTCCTCACTGCTTTCCCTGTCTGCTTCTCACACGCTGGGATACCCAGGATGTCACCTTTAGCCACCCCCTCTATTCTCACAGCAACACTTTCCCTGGAGCTCTTCCTGTGTTCATTACTAAACCCTCATCAGTGTTTCGGTGATACTCATGATGGGACACACAGGGGTACGTAATATGTACCTGCGCCAGCTTCACGGAACACGGGAGCCTATTTATGATTTCAGTCAAGATTTGAAACCTAAGATGCTTTCTTCCTAAGTTCTTACAGTGAGCAACGGCACCATGTATCTCCTAAACTGAAGACGACTGTGGATTCTTATGCTACAAACCACTTCCCCACCTAAAAAATCTTCCCTTCCTGGCTCTCTAACAGAACACTCTCATTCCCACCTGTGGTGTGCACACATGTAGAAGCAGCCAGAAGATGTCCTGTGTTTTTCTAGCTATAGGCAAACAACCTCCGAATGCCAGCTCTTCCATGTCTGCCTCAGCTGCAGAGCCCATCCCATCTAGGAGCACCTTACCTGGTCTGTGGACAAGAACCTGTGAGTGGGGCAAACGCCTCTTGCCTGCAGCTCCCAGCAGATGCGGCCTTGTGCTGCTCCACAACGGGCCATTGGTGTGCTTTTACAGACTACCTGATTTCAAACACACTGCTATCCCTCTGGCTTCCCTCCCTGCCCTACACTAGGGGGACTCGGGTGCCCTCTGTCCTCTGGTGTGTTTGAGAAGTCTTGGAGTAACTGCTGTTGCTTTAGCCACGCTACTTCTACTGACTTCTGATGAGCCCAATCTTAACATATGCTAACTTACTAAGCCCTTGCACACAATTGTGCATGGTCAGCGTCTTATGTTAAAAAAATCTTTGCCTGCTCCCAATTGTGAAAATAATTTCTAATATTTTCTCTTAATCTCTCTTTTATATTTTCTGATTCACAGTTTTCACACCAGGAATCTGTTAGAAACATATACATAATAACATAAAGAAGGGAAGAGGCTTTTGCTGTCCTACTTAGACTGCCCACTGCCCACGACTTTGATTGGCAGCTTTAGCTGTTGTTCTCTCTCCTTCATGCAATTATATATGAATCTGGAGTTCATATTTGAGCAGATCTCATCTCCATCTGACTGCAGCTTAGGGTTCTGATATGGGGGGACTGTCCTTCTTTCTGGTCATTTGATTTGTTCAAAACTATCTGGTCCTTTGCTGTCACGCTGATTCGTTTAGGGTAAATAAAATCCTTTTGGGATATGAATGAAATGAAGGAGCTGTATAGAAATGGCCTCCTATGGAAATTGAGTCTTAGCATCCACTAACGCTGGCCTTTCAGGTACAGCTTCATAGATATGAATCGGTCAAGTTTTAGGATTTTTTTTTCCATACATGTGTATTCTCTTAAAAATTGATTTACCCCTGGGTGTTTATGGTAGGATCTGTTGAGTGGTTCTTAAAACACATTCTCCTCTTCCTCCCAGGCACACGGACAGACTACGTGTCCTGCCCCTCCTTCACAGCAGGTGACAGCACACAGGAGGTGGCTTTTTTCCCTCCAGAATCCTCTAGGGGTGCGTTACCACCAGCTGCCATTTGGATATGACAACATCAAGGTCACTACCACGGTGTACTGGAAAAACTGGACAAGAAGGGACTCAAGTTCTGAAATCAAGCCCCAGCAGCCCGTTGCCTCGCAACATCCTCTCCGGACAACTGAGGTAAAGCAATAAGAAGTGAAAACAGGTGGCTGGAGAGATGGCTCAAGGGTTAAGAACACCGGCTATTCTTCCAAAGGACCTGGGTTCAATTCCTAGCACCCACACGGCAGCTCACAACTGTCTGTAACTCCAGAGGACCCGAGGACACAGTCACACAGACACACATGCAGGCAATATACCAATGTATATAGAAATAAATAAATCTTTAAAAAAAAAAAAGAAGTAAAAACCAGGTGGCCTGGTTTGCATAAAACCAACAACCATGAGCTTATACTTTTTGAAGAGCAATTTGAATGACTACCGATGTCCAGGTGTCACCTGTAGTTGCTCTTCAGGACGAAGAGGAAGTTTGCCCTTAATCAGGAGCCTTGAGCCGCTGTTTCTTACCCTGCATGTTCTGAAGACAAACACATGCCAAATCGCTTGGTGCCGGTTTCCATGCATCTTCTTATCATGAGCCGGTAGTTGGGCTCAAAGACATGGAGAGGGCAGGAAACCGTGGGGAAGGTCATGGCACACACAAAGATGGGCACATCTCGGGTCGGACTGCAGAGCAAGGGAAACGTTAGCTTCAGTGCGTAAGCTGTTCAGAACAGAAGCAGCTCAGAACAGAAGCGAGCAGTTGCTATAGCAACCAGAGCAGCCAGCGGAACAACGTCTGAGCCTGACGTCTCCACTGAGCCAGTCTGCAGCCAAGTCTGTCCTCTTTAATGTCGTGTTTGACGATTTTAGAGCATCCTGTGTTATGGCACTGTACTCGGAAAACATACAGTTTTGGATTATACTTAAAATATTGCACAAAGCAAAAAGTACACAGTACACACAAAGGGCATCAAGTGTTACATAAGACGTGGAGGAGCGACCGGGTCTACATGGAAACACACACTTTTAACCAGCTGGAGAGAGGAAATTTCCACGAGTCACAATCCTGCTTCCTGTTCTGGTGTTTGCTTTTCCATTTAGAAAGATGGTCAGATACAGAAAACAAATATGCAACTTTCAAAAAAATAGATTTTGAAATATTTCTTATGACTTACACTTACATACCCACAAATATTTTCCAACTAACCTTTTCTATTTAAAGGCCAAAAAAAAATCTGTTATAAAAAAAAATCTAAGATAAGGTGTCAATGAAGATGGTCCTCAGTATTCTGCACCAAAAACCGACTTCATGTGACAGAATCACTTACTCCGATAGTTCCAGCATTTCTTCATCGTGAATCCGCTTCCTATCAGACAGCTCATCTGGTAAGTACCGGAGTATCAGTTCTTCAACCAGAAAGGTCACATGAAAGTTTCTGGTTGCCAACAACTGTAATAAAAGGTACATTAAATGATACCAAATGGCAATTACTCCTACAGGACAATGATCAGCACTGAGCTGGCTCTTGTTCTGTACATGTGAGAAAGGGGTTGCCGGGAATTTGCTGTTTGGGTGTCTAATGCTCCCTGGCAATACAATAAAAACTGGACACTTGAAGTTTTTGTCCTCAAGGGGCTTATATTTAGCGAACGTCCAGGATGTTCCTGGATTTTTCGTTCCATTATGACTTTTTTGGTCAGCACACCGAGCGATGGGTATTACTGTGACATTTTCATCCACGTACATGATGTACGGGTTTTTCTTCTTTACCCAGCCCTCGTGAGACAGCGGGAAAAGTGCAATCAAAAGGCTTGTGTTACAAACAGTCACAGAGGCCAGCTTTTGTTCTCATGAACACAGGGAGCCGTCCTCAGGTCCCTGGATCCCGGAAACACGGGTGCATCAGAGAACAGGGGAGGTGTGCCTGTCAGCAAGAGATGATACAACATGGGGAAGACCACGGAGGAGCTCCCAAGTGAACTGCCACGTGCACTCAGAACGTAAGGCACAGTATAACACTGATAACCATCCTGCGACCCCTGAAAAGTCTAGAAATCTGCAATGTGAATGCAATTTAATAATGCAAGTGCATCATGCAACATAAGGCAAGTATGTGCACACGTTTTAGAGAGGTTTTAATGGTGATGACATATTTTAACATGCTTTGGCAACAAATGAAAAAGTTATACTTGCTTTCTTTTTTATTTTATGTGTGTGGCTTTTTTTTAAATTGATTTTAATTGAGCTCTACATTTTTCTCTGCTCTCCTCCCTGCCTCCCCCCTCCCCACTTCAACCCTCCCCTAAGGTCCCCACGCTCCCAATTAACTCAGGGGATCTTGTCTTTTTCTACTTCCCACGGAGATCAGATCTATGTAAGTCTCTCTTAGTGTCCTCATTGCTGTCTAAGTTCAATTTTATTTCGTTTTAATATCCTCTCCTGCCACGTCGGACTTCTGAAAAGTTAATTTAGCCTAGGAGTATGCTCCAGTGTGCGCTAGAGGGTGAGAAAGGAAGGAGAAAGCATGCTGTCTAGAAGCTGCATGTTCTTTCTGGAAGACAATTAAAACAGAGGTTACCAGTGAGAACAGAGCCAGCACACAGCTCTGCAATGCTGTTAATTTCCTCTGCCTTATCTGCACGCTCAGTACAAACGGACTCCAGAGTTTTGATTTGGGTTAAATATCAATAGATAATTTCCATTTATACACTACATTTTACTGGCTTTGGTTTCAGATTAAAGGCAGGAGTGACTGATGACTGGGAAGAGCATAAAAGAGACTGGACAGTCGAGTGGGATAACCCAGACACATGAGTGTATCACAGTACTTCAAACGGTTTGGTATGACTATATATATATATATATCCTGATAGCTCTTTTCAATCTAACTCAATGGTTTATACCTGAAAATTACTTTATTTGGCTACTTCTGCATCTAATGTTTCCTTATATGTTCTGGCTGATGAAAGAGGTGGGAAATGACCCATATTAGATTAAAAAAAAAGTCTGATTTTTAACAAGTAGACGGTAGAAGAGAAGCATGAAATATTTATGAAAGCACAGAGAAGCCTTTTGATTTCACAAACCGCTTACTTCTGAAAGCTTGTCTTTGCACAGTGGGCAGTGTGGAGCATGGTCAAGGCAGCGCTCGAGGCATTTCAGGCAAAATGTGTGTCCGCAGGGCGTAGTGACAGGTTCAAAGAGCAACCTAGAAAGAAGATCATGGGTTTCCACCAGGATATATCCAGAACAGACGTTCAAAAGAGCCACCTGCTTAAAAGGATGCCCTATGCAGTTTCCATCCAGCCGTGGGAGTCCTTTGTATCCACTCCTCTTGTACATCCTCACTAAACTTTTAGAAAATAAATCAATTATTACTGATATATATTTTGCTGGCTAATTTTAAATTATTTTGACACCAGCTACAGTCATCTAAGAAGAGGAAACCCTAATTGAGAAAAATGTCTTTATAAGATTGGGCTATAGGCAAGCCATTAGAGCATTTTTTAAATTAGTGAATGGTGTGGGAGGGACCAGTTGATTGTGGGTGAGGCCACCCCTGGGGTGGTGACCCTGGGTTCTAAAAATAATCAGGCTGAGCAAGTCATGGGGAGCAAGCCAGTAAGCAGCACCGTTCCACGGCCTCTGTACCAGCTCCTGTCTCCAGGTTCCTGCCCTGTTTGAATTCCTGTTCTGGCTTCCTTCATTGACAGACTACGGATGTTGAAGTGTAAGCCAAATAAACCTTTTCCTCCCCAAAACTGTTTTTGGTCATGGTGTTTTTATCATAGCAGTAGTAACTCATATTAACACACACATACACACTCATACACACACACTTACACACACTTATACAGTCACATACACTTACACACTCATACACACTTGCACACTCACACACATGCGTATCTAGGTGTATATGTGCATCTTCAACAGCAGCCCTTGCATGCGGTTATAGAATTCACAAACACTCACTTTTTTAAAGACCTATATGAATTCTACCCAGCTCACCTCATGCACAGAGCACACTCAAAGTCAGCCAGGTCAATCGTGAACTCCGGCTCCTCCAGAGAGTTCACTTTCCCCTGAGGTGAGGAATCCACATCTGAAAAATTTTCAAATGTTGTTGTAACAAACAGCCAAACTTCTGAGAAACACCCTATTATGACAAACGTATTTCTTCTGGACACAATGTTTCAATATCAGTGTTAACAAATGCTGCTGAAGAAAAATTCTTACAAGAATGGACCAAGGTGGTGTGAATTAAGGGAAAACCATCCAAGTGTTTGTTCTCTTCCTCACTATAAAGCCCCAGCAAAATTCGCTCTAGAAAAAAAGCTGGTATACTCATTTCTGTATGGATTTTACTGCGTTAAGATCTTTTACAAATTCATCAGAGTACTAACTAATATTCTACCCTTTTGATTTCAGAATATCATGGCAAGCAACACTTAGCTGACCTTTCTTGGGAACTTTCTCGGGGGTGTTCCCATCACACTCATCTTCTGTGTCACTTGGGAGCTGTCTCTTTAAAGTGCTGCTCGGTGCTGCTGGAAAGACGCTTTCCAAAGCCTTTTTGTCCTCTTCACGGTTTCGGCCCATAATAAAATACATAACCGAAGAATTGATTTCCTTCTTAACTGCATCAGACTTCTCAGATGGATTCTATTGAGAAAAAAAGAGAATCCTGGATATTGAAGAGCCATAGGATACAAGGGAAACAAAACCAAAGAAGCCGACATGCAATAAGCCTTCTTAAAACTCTCTGGAAAGGGGCCGTGGGGAAAGTACTTATTGTACAAGCATGAGCCTTGGGTTTGGAGCCTTGGGTTTGCATCTATTTGCAAAAGCTGGGTATGTCTGTCATGTCAGTGAGGGGAGACAGCCAGGCCAGCGAAACAGCATGCTCCAGGGTCAGCGAGAGGTCCTGTCTCAGAACGTAAGTGGGAGCAACAGAAGATGACGCCCAACGGTTATCCCTACTCTCTACACTCACAATATCAACTTCTGAGGAAAAGAGAGTGCCCGCACTCTCCAGCCTGACTGGCTTTGTCAATCAGGTAATCAGATGTGCTTTACACTTCTCGTGGTAGAACACAGGATAATTTCTTTTCAAGAAGACCAATCTGCAAACCTACAGCCTATACATCAATGTATACATTATATATCACATGTCCAGATCTGTCTCTGCTTTCTTTTTTTCCCCAAGACAAAATAAATATGAGGTCTCCTGATATTTTGGAGATGTTCCCAAACACGTGAAGGTGTTCGGAGGGGCTCCGGGGCTCCCATCTGTGCTGTTCCGTTAGTTCTGCCCGCTTCATTTAAAAGCTTTGACGAGTGTTTACATCTCGTCATAGGATCCATGATGCCCCAGGAACTGCCAAACAGTAAAGTCACCCAGTGGCAGACACATGCAATTCACACCTCAGGGCTGCCCATATTCACGTTCCCGCCTTCTTCCACAGCACACTGGGGATTCATCTGGCCATCACAGTGGGCCTCTGGTCCACTTTGGGTAGAAGCTGTCAAATTCTGATGCTCACTTTCTGAAGCTGAAAACAACATCTCACATATTATCTGTAAATTTTCCAAGAAGAGAAAACACGTTGTAAAAAAATCCACTGGGTAGTGTGTGTGGGTCTCTAACATATTTTAGAGGTTCAGAGTCAACACAAGCCAAACAGGTCTGTAAAAAAATGGCAAAGAACAACCACCGTATTCCAGCCACTAATCTCTTAAAATACTAACATTTTGAAACTGTACATAATGTGTTAAGAACTGTAGATTCTAGCCCCTTTCCACCCATCTTACCAATGGTAAAATATGGGAATGTGCCCAGAGGAGGGAACCCAGAGACCCTTCTCTGCGTGAAAAACATGCTTCAAAGAAAGCAAGCTGCCTTTAAGTCCCTAAGGCGGGTTCACACAACCGTGGGAGGAAAAACTGACTCGTGTTCCACTGTAGCACAAAGCAGAATGTGCTCATCAGCAGAGATCATAGTGTAGGCAGGCGGTAGCCGCGTGAGTTAAACCACGTTCAAACAGGGAACACTGACAAAAGCAAACCAGAAACTCCCAGTCCCTGGAAATGCCACACAAAGACCAGGTGAGTACTGTCTAGGCATTTGGCTAGGATCGATTCCTAAAGTAAGTGTGACTCAGTACCTTCTGGACCACGCCCAGGTCAGTGTGCGGGGCAGAACTCGCCCTAGGATCAACACTCTGCCTCCACAGCCATGTGCTGCAACCTGGCCTCACGTGTCAGCCTCTCGTCACACCTGAGGCAGGTGTGCATCACCTCAGCAGACATTCTGCTGCATATCTAATTAGTGGTCATCCAACGTGGCGCGTATGACTACGGTGCCGCTAACCACACTACTGTGGGCATCTGAAATTACATGTGTTGCTCTTACAGGCAAGGGCTCCCGGCATGACACAAAGCCACACACGTACACCTGCAGGAGGAAGTCATTCACGAGAACACATACCTTCTGTGTTTCTTTCCTTGCTGACTTACATCCAGGATTTAAAGCAATGGAGTAGATAAATTCCATCAGCCCTTCTTTACTTCTTCCCAATCCAGAAAGAATCTGAGCTTTTATAAGGTGCCCCTGGATTTGCCCAAAGACAAACACAGCAAGATTATCCACATCTGGAGACAACAAACCCTGGAAAATGTGTTAGAATGGTTTGCTACATCTTCAGATTAGGTGAATGGAAACAGTTCTTAAGACAAGAGTCACTGTTTAATAAATACACCTACAATCAGAATGCATCGATCACTGTAACTGAGGTTCGTGCCCAAAGAAGTTCTAGAGGACATGCTAAGAAAGAAATGGAATCTATCAACCCAATTTTATTGTTTATGATATTTACGAAATCCATATAATTTACAAAAACTGTTGAATAGCCAAGAAATTAGATTTATAATATATTTATCATTACTCTTAAAGCTATCTTGAACAAAAGATCAAAGCCAGGTATACACATGAATTAATCTGAATTCAAAATATACTATAAATTATGACAGCAAAACAGTTATAATTTCTATATACCAGCAATCATCATTTGCTTAAATGTGTTCATGTGTGTGTGTGTGTGTGCCACAGGTATAGGTGACCTTAGAGGTCAGAAGAAGGTGTTGGGATTCAAGAGGCAGTGTACTTTTTATATGTTTCTTTGATATTTTCATGTCTTTTTTAGTAAAATACTGTTCAAATTCCTTAACCATTTAACCAGTTGTGTGGATTCTTACTGAATTGGGAAGCTCACTTCATATATGCTGAGTACAACTTCCCCTTATCACGCAGTCTTCTCTGTTCCTAATTTGTGTTTAATTTTCATCTCTGCACCAATATCCTTTGAAGATCAGGAGTTTCAAATGTTTGGTGAAGACCTACTCACCAAATTCTTGCTTTTGTAATGTGTATCTTCTGGTCCCATTTGTTGGCCATTGATCTTTTGTTCACCTCGCTTTTATTTAAGATTTATTTTTATTTCTGTGTCTGTGTGTGAATCTCTGAGTGTATATGTCACCTGTACGCGGGTTTCTGCTGAGGCCAGAGGAAGATGGTGGATGCTCCTGAGCTAGAAGTGAAGGCAGTTGTGAGCCACTCACCATGGCCAAACTCAAGTTGTCTGGAAGAGCAGCAAGCCTTCTTAACCACTGAATCATCTTTCCAGTCTCTCATTTTTGGTTTGAATTTGCTCTTCTTGATCTAGCTTTCATCTTAGGATAGAAACTAGATTTTGGATCTTTGTCCTTTAATAGGAGATGATGATACTATAAATTTCTTTCTAAGAATGACTTTAACTATATCTAAGAAATCAAATGTACAATGTATTTTATCATTAACTTTAAATGATCACTGATTTGGGACCTTTGATCTTTAATAGAAGATGATAATAATATAAATTTCCCTCTAAGAATGACTTTAACTACATTTAAGAAATTACATGTATAATATTTTTATCATTAATTTTAAATATTTGACAGTTCTCTTTTGATTTCTTCTCTGTCCAAAGGACTGCTTAAGAATTAAGTTGCATTGAGAGAACATTCATTTGAAGACTTCAATATTTTGAATCTTGACGCTGTCTAATGCACACTGGATCCAACATATATTGAAAAAGATATGTATGCCATAGCTAATACATTGTCCTACAAGTGCCAGTTAGGGTGAGCTGACGTCACCTTCTAAGTCTCTAAAGTATTCCTTAAGTTTCTACTGATAGTCTTGGAGAGTAATATGGCCATTTAATTTCTGCATACTTTATGTTTTCATAATACGTTTTTATAGTCATTTAAACATGCTCACATCTTCACATTTAAAGTGAATTTCTTGTGGATGCTGTACTGCGGGTCTTGCTTTGCAGGCGCGCTGACATCTCTTCCTACTTTGAATTTGCTGCTCCCATGCTGACTGGCCGCCATGATGTCTCATGAGATGTTAAGCATCCATCTTGCTATTCCCCTATATGCTATGTTTCCTTGTCACTTTCAAGACTTCCCTAACAACTCTGGGCCTAAGCAGCAGACTGGCTGTGGTTTGAGTTATTCTGCATGGCTTCTTGTTCATCCCAGGCATCTGAAATGAATGCTTCCGACTGTGGTAGTATGACTGTGACTGGCCCCCATAAGCTCGTAGGGAGAGGCACTATTAGGAGCTGTGTCTTTGTTGGAGTGGGTGTGGCCTTGCTGGAGGAAGTGTGTCACCATGGGAGTGGGATTTGAGGTTTCCTATATGCTCAAGCCATGGGACTTGAGTTCTGACCCCAACCAGCCATGTGAAAACAGCTGGGAGGGGAAGACAGGAGGACCCCAGCGGTTCACTGAGAGACCCCCTGAATCCAAATATAAGGCGGAGAAGCAATTGAGGAAGACACTGCTATGTTAACCTCTGGCTTCTACATGTACTTACATAGGTGAGTGCAATGGCACAAACACACACATGCATACACCTTGTATGCACACTCCTCCACTCACATGCACACATATACTCTCATACACAGCTATGTGCACCCCCCACACATATGCCCACTCACACACACACACACACATACACGCACATGCACGTACACACACCCTCACACATAGACACACACATACACCCACACACGTACATACACCATAACCTTAATCAAATGGACCCTTTCCAAAGCCAATGAAGAAGCATAAATCACCTTAGCCAGGAGAGGCTCCCTCTGACAGATCGTATCAGCATCCTGCATGGCTTGCTCATAGTTCTTTTTGGTTAGATATATCTCAGCTCGCAGCAGCAGGAGTGAGCTGTCATCGGGGGCTGAAAGACAGGGGAGAGATACAAGTGACTGCATTTTAAAGATACACTGCTTTCTGATATTAACATATTAAATTGGGAAATTAGCACAAAGACAAACACAAAACAATTCCCAGTGATCACATGTTGAGTTCACTGAGTACATGAATACAATTCACAGAGTTCCTTTCAGGAAAACAGAAATAAGTTTAACTAGTCTTCAAAAGGCATCAGGGGAAAATAACATTAATCCTTCAAGCACACTAGTACAATCTCCAATAACAAATCAAGTAATCCTGTAATCCAGTAATCTGAATCCAAAACGCTTTCAAATCTGAGTTTTGAGTTTGGGGGGTATTTCAGACTTTGAATTTTTAAATTAGAATTGGAAGACACTCAAAAAAAGAAAGAGAGCCTTTATAAAATGTGAAACACTTACAGATTCAGCTCTTTTGGACTGCAGAAATGCATGCTGTAAAATTGGGTATTTAAAAGGGGCATATGAAATACATTCCAAGGGAAGCACACTAAGAAATCCATGCTTTAAAACCTAATAGAGAGGGAGGGGGTGATGGCTCGGTCAGTCAAGCGTTTGCCACCCAAGCACTGGGACCTCAGTCTGAACCCCAGCACCGAAGTCACATGGTACAGTGTAGCATGCCTGCATCACAACACTGGAGAGGCAAAGGCAGGAGGCTCTCCAGTCTACCCAATCCAGCCAAAGTGGAGCCCCAGGTTCAGTAAGAGGCCACGGATCAAAACTAAGATAGAGTGCAACTGAGAAAAACACCTGACACCAGCTTCTGGCCTCCACATTCACACGCACGGACACTATGCACACACACAGCAACACATGCATACACACGTGCCACACAGCAAGAATCTGGATCAGAAGAGTAAAACATGACTTTTTCCCCTACCTAATCATGTACATGCCGATTCACCTCTGCAACTGTATTATATACACCTCGGAACCTTCCCAACTCTCCTCCCCATGTTCCTCACACAGAAGACACACCGATGACCTTTCCTGTGACATTACAGTCAAACACAGCTCTCAGAGAAGTCCAGGAGTGGTTCTCTCTGTGGGATGTCACACAGCACATACCTCCACAGCTGGTTTTCACACCTCTGGACTCTGCTCACTCCACCCCCGTCTTCTCGGGATCCTCGCAGCTGCCCTTTCCCGTTGATAACTATGCTGAGCACTTAGACATATTCCTTTCTCTCTTCCTGAACACCGCTGTGGATTGCCTTGAAACCCTGACTTTGACCCCAAAAGTCTCACCTGGGCCTTTGCAAAGGTCAGCAGGCTTCCTATTAGTTTATGTAGATAACCAAGCAAATGTGCAGCAAAAAACTCATGCAAGACAGGGCTGAAGGCATGGTAAGCTGCAAAAGAACAGTTATGGACACATGGCAGGGAAAGGGTGGGGCAATGGGGAACAGGAGCCACAGGAAGACATTCACAAGGTTTTGGTTTTTTTTTTTTTTTAAACTGAAACAAATCAAAACATAACAGCAATTGTTTCTCACTGAACTGTGATTGAAACACCCTGTTGTTAATTTTTTTTAAAGATTTATTTATTTATTATGTATACAGTGTTCTGTCTGCATGTACGCCTGGGGGCCAGATCTCATTACAGGTGGTTGTGAGCCACCATGTGGGTGCTGGGAATTGAACTCAGAACCTCTGGAAGAGCAGTCAGTGCTCTTAACCCCTGAGCCATCTCTCCAGCCCCCTGTTGTTAATTTTTAAGACAAAGTAAACAACACAAAATGGCTTCAGGAAGTTCCTGAAACTGGCAAGACTCGCTAACCCCTCCCTCTCAGTAGTAAACAATAAAGACTGCTGAGAGTCAAGCTGCCAGGAGGACTCTCAGACAAGCTACGATGACTCTCAGATGAGCCAAGCTGCAAGCAAGAAATAGGAATCAGCCAAGAAGCCTGGAAGGAACAGAAACCAGCCAAGCTGCCAGGAAGAGGTGTAGACAGAGCCACCTGGAGCTGCCTTCAAGTTTTACAGTATAGTATAAATATCCGGTTTTTATGAGATGTCACCCAAGCTAGTATGGCCTTTCATGATCCACCTGTCTTTGGAGTTATTTCTGCTACTGTAAGTAACCCCTCCTTTAAGTAAAATTCATTGGTTCTACGATTTGAACTTCGACTGTATCTGTGTTTTGGTGTGTGTTACATCTCCCCAGGAAAAGTCTTGTCACTCTCTTGTTTGTCTCTGGTAACACAGGCCTATTATGAAACGTTTTGGTAAAGGGAGAATGTTTCCCTTAAGGCTCAAAGCTCTCCCATCCACACCATCAAGTGAATATGTCCATCTGTTAGCTATGATCCATAATGAGATCTTAGATGTTCCATCTTTGAAAATGTACATGCAGACTGAGAGGCACTGGCCGAGCTCATAAGCAAGTGTGTGATCTTTAAAAACGTTTTATTGTGTGTGTATGGGTGATTTGCCTACATGTAAGTCTGTGCACCGCATGCATGCTTGGTGCCCTCAGAGGTCACAACAGGGCATCAAATCCTCTGCAACTGTAGTTGCAGACAGTTGTGCACTGCCTTGTGCACTCTGGAAATTAAACCCAGGTCCTCTGCAAGAGCAGCCAGTGCTCTTAACTTCTGAGTCATCTCTCCAGCTCCGAGTGTATGATTATTTTTTTTTAAAAAAAAACATATGCTTTCTTTATTTTTGAGAATTTCATACATGTATACGGTGAAATACAATCATATCCACCCCATCTCCCCATTCCAACTTAACTAATATCATTCTCAGCTTTATTGATTCTTCCATGTGCATATGGCTAACATTCATTGTATTCAGTGAATTATAAGAAAAAAAATTTAAAGGAGACTTTTCACTGCGTGGCAGAAAATTATTCTTAATTCTCAGAGAATCTGCCTCTTTTAAAAGTGTGCCATTATATGGGAAATAAAACTGCAGACTAATAACTTCTACCTGAAAGATTAGGTAAAGGTTCCTTAACCGCACAATTCCGTGCATTTTGATATCTCCCCGTTGGAGGTTTTGAGAGATCTAAACAAAAGAAGCGACTGGAATTGCAAACTGAGCTTCAAAGACAAGTAAGTCATCCATGGACTTCATACCCTGCGCTCGCTACATGAGTTTCTCATGGATCCCGACTGTTTGCCAACTGGTTCTCTCGAGTTTCCCACACAGCCGTATCATGTGCAGATAATTAGATTTCTTTTACTGTCTGTCATATTTCCAGCCCCCATTTCCCTTCACTCTCTTGTTGCAAAGGTTTTGACAAGCAAATCCGCATCCTCTCCCCCAGTAGGGATTTAATCCACAGGCCCACACACCTCCCGCTCCCATTCTTGACTTCAAAAGACTACATCTAGGCCTGGGGAGATGGCTCAGTAGCTGAGAGCAATGCTGCTCTTCCAGAGGACCTGGGTTCCATTGCCAGCACCCACACGTAGTGCACAACCATCTGCAACTCCAGTTCCAGGGGATCTGGTGCCCTCTTCTGGCGTCTGGTGGCACGACACGTGCATACATGTGAATCGGTGATGTCATCTCGCCCTGACTTTATTTCGTGGCATTCCTCCGCCTGCCACCCCAATAGCCACATCCGCATTGGTAATGTTTTCTGTGAGACTGTCCGTGACCCCGAACATGGTCTAGACATAGTAACCAGAATAGCTGGTGTCTGTGCAGGCTAGAACTAAAATAATGACGTGGAAGTGAAAATTAGAAATAATTGCCATGTAGTGTCTGGAAAATACCATTAAGCCCTGCAAAAAAAGGGCAGATGTTGTTCTGACCCCCCCCTTCCCTCGCGGACACTGATGTAATTATGGGTTTTGTCTTGAAAGTCCTGCACTCTTGAGCCCCGCACCAAGAGACTCCATGTCTTCCGTGTATATTTTGGACATTTATTCGTGTAACCTGCAGTGATCACCCAGGACATACCCAGGACTGAAGATGTTCCCTTTGTGCTTTGCCACTTGGCAGACCCCTGGGTAAGAGTGACCGCCACTCTGACGGCCACTGGCAGTTGATGCCAACACGGCTGGGTACCGCTGCAGTTGTGTTTAGGAGCCAACGTACTGCAATACATGCTTTCTAACTAATCAGTTAGTGAATGCGGGTATCACAGTGCACATGTGGATGTCAGATAACAACTCTCAGGAACTTTCTCCTGAGACCCTGTAAGAACGGAGGATCAAACTAGGTCTGTGCACAAGTGATCCTACCCACCGAGTCATCTCACCGGCTCAGTATAGTGTTCTCATTACCATTCAGGACAAATGTTTCCTTGTTTTTAATTGTGATTTTTTTTTAATCTGACCTGTTGGTAACAGTGTGGTTGAAAGCTCCCCAAGTGTACAGAGAAATTCTGCTCTATTGTTAAGAAGTATTAAGAGCATTCAAACTGCCTAGGCTCCCACAAAGCCAACACGTGCAGTAGGATCAAAGAACCTTACTAGACCTGGATGGAGGTGGGTGGTCCTTGGACTTCCCACAGGGCAGGGAACCCTAATTGCTCTTTGGGCTGACGAAGGAGGGGGACTTGATTGGGGGAGGGGGAGGGAAATGGGAGGCGGCGGTGGGGAAGAGACAGAAATCTTTAATAATTAAATAAATAAATAAGTATTAAGAGGTGGGGCCAAATGAAGAGATCAGGCCAGAGGGCTTTGCTCGCATGGACAGGCTAAAGAGGCTAACACAAGGGCAGGTTAGTTAGGAAGGACATCTAAGCAAGCTCTGTGCTCCCTGCTGTGTCTTGTTTTACAATGCCCTCTGCTACTGCAGAGCAAGAACCTCTGATACTGGATTTCTCAGCCTTCACAACTATGTGAAATCAGTGTCTTTCTTTTATAAATTGGCCAGCTTGTGGTATTTTGTTATGGCTGCAGAAGACAGACTAAGACACGTTACATGTTAACGTTAAACATGCATTGCTTTGTTTCCAAATATCTGGCGACTGCCTACTTACCTGTTGCTTAATTTTCCTTTAGTGTTCGAGTAACACCTCTGT